CATCAGACTAGCTCCAGCCCAAGAGGAAACTCGCGGGAAAACAGAAACGCGCTCGCACTGGACCTGGAGGGACCCGCAGCCCCGTGGCTCCTCCTCCTGGGCCCTTCTCTGCAGCTGGCTCCCGGGCTTCGGCCTCGGCGTGTGCCCGCCCAGCAAGCCGGCCTTCCCGACCTCCACGGGCCTTCCCGACCTCCACGGGCCTTCCCGACCTCCACGGGCCTTCCCGACCTCCACGGGGCTGCTGGGGGCGGGCGCTCCTCCTCCTGACAGCCTGCGTGGTGAGGGGTGGCACCCGCCCTGACCCCGGTGAACCCTGAGTCCACAGCACTCCCAGGGACTTGATGGTGATGGGCAGAGACCTGGAAGGGTTTCCTCGGCCACCCGGGTGTGACAGGCCCCAGGGGGAAGCTGAGCGGCAAGCCAGCGTGTCAGAACAGCCCACCGGTGACCAGTCCTCGAGTGTCCTCCTCCAGGAGGCTGGACCTGAGGCTGGGACAAAGGGGCTCGGACCCGTGCTGCCCCTCGCTGACTTCAGGACATGGAGAAGGGACGGGGTCAGGGCGAAGAGAGGAGGCTGGGAGGTCATTTGCAGACATGGGAGATGTGGTGGGGGGACCAAGGATCGGGGTCCTCTGTGCTCAGGGCTCTCAGGAACCTGGGTCCTGGCGCTCCGGACCCCGCGAGCTCCATCCCGGGCCTCTGGTGCGTCCTCACTGGCCCGGTGACTGGGGGGCTCCGGCTGGGACGTGTTCATGGAATTAAAATGTTTCAGGAAACGGAGAAAAAACTGCTTCCTTTACACTAAGGGCTCCCCTCTCCATCCTGCTCTGCGTCAGGGAGCACGATTTCTTGGCCACACAGATCTGATTCAACCTTCAGAGAGGCTGGGCCAGCGTGTCACCAGCGCCACCTGCACGCCAGCCACGTCCCTCCCCAGTGAGTACCGTAGACCCTTCCAGCCGGGGCCAGGCTGTGAGTGCACCTGCGGGATCACTGCCGACTTGGGCACCAGTCACCGCGGGGACAGCCTTGCTCAGCTCCCCTGGGCTGAGAACTGAGTCCCCTTCGGGAGTAAGTGGGACGGTGGGGGGGGGGCTGCAAGGGACAGGAGTTACGGGGGCAGCGACCACAAGCAAGGGGCAGAACAGCAAAAGGGTGTGCTCCTGGCAGATGTGCTCCTCCCAGCCAACTTCAAAAAAAATAGTAATTCAACGTGTTTTTATTGAAAAAAATCATACCCCCCAACACACATGAACGCACCTTTTCTCTACTTCAAAGGGCAATTTCTGGTTTGATTCTTCCCATTGTACTTTCTATGCATAATCCAATTCATATGTGTCCACATCCTTTCAAAATGTCATTTATGTAGCATCATAATGTTTCACCTCTTGCTTTCTCAGTTAATGACTCTTCTTGGACACCATTCTTCCATGTCAGATGGCTTCACCTTTTTCATGACTGTGTAGCATTCTGGCACTGGCTCAAACCATAATTTACCTAGCATATTTTCTAGTGGTGGGCACCAAGGTGGGTGGTGATGCTTGACCATTACCCATAGGAAATGCCCTTAAGCCCATACGTCCTTTAGGACATGAATGGCTTATTCGACATGACAATGTATTCTCATCAGTAGACTTGCTGGCCTCATTCCTGCCAGCATGCCTGAAAAATCAGTGGCATGACTGGATTTAATCACCGACCAGGCACAATTTAATTCTTTAAAAGTGACTTGTCCACTCAGCCAGAGTGAATAAAAATGCATGCCAGAACAGCGGTCAATCCTCTTAGAATCCTCGATTTCAGAACTGGCAGATGCGTGCTCCAAATGACCCAAGTTCAGACAACGCCTGCCCACTCACAAGGCGCTTCCTGCCTTCATCTGGTCCCCATGTTGATCCTGCAAAGTGTGTATATTTAACATCACCATTCTCACAGGTGAGGAAACTGAGGCTCAGAGAGGACAAGATATCTTCCCAAGATCACACAGCTCCCAAATAGCAAAGGGTTCAGATTCCAAAGACAGATCTGGTAAAATCTTACTTTCTCTCTAAATACATGGTACCGGCTATATCACATGACTCTTAAGATCTTTAGAGTGGATAGTCAACTGGCAGGCAAGTGAAATAAACATTTGCCTAGGTGGCTGAGTTCCTGTGGCCACTGCAAGAAATCATCACAAACTTCATGGCTTAGAGCAACACGGATTTACCACCGTAGGTCACTGGAGGTCAGCTGCCAGTGTTGGGTCTCCCTAGGCTAACAGCAAGGGCCGCTCCTTCCTGGTGCTCCAGCAGAGGATCCTTTCGTACCTTGTCCAGCTCCTGCAGCTGCCCACATTCCTTGGCTGATGGCCCCTGTCCAGCAATGCCGTCACTTGGACTTCTACTCCCTAGTCTCTGACTGAGCCTCCTGCCCCCTTACAAGAGCCCCCGTGACTACACTGGACCCACCAGCATCGTTCAGGATAACCCTGTCTCGAGATTCTTAGCTTGAGTCCAAGTCCCTCTTGCCATGTAAGGTAACGGATTCTGGGGGTCGCGATGTTGACCTCGGTGGGCAGCTATCCCTCTGCCTGCGACACTGGATTCCTGCCACAGTGATTTAGAGCAGGGGTCCTGTGGAGGGAGGTGCCTGGCTCTGATTTTGACTGCTAGGCCTCAGTAACAGGGACTGCCTTCCTCCCTGTGCCCGTGATAACAGGTAATAGACACCCCACCCTTTGGATCTTCTCTCCAAGGACACGTCTCAGGCCCCTGTCAGTGGTTACTTAGGGGAATCAGTTGGCAGGTAGAACCTGGGAACTATTTAGAGAAACTAACCAAGTGAGGGTTTAGAGAAACCAACCTTGGAGAAGAAGAGGTCCCTCCAGAGGAGCACGGTAAGGAGCCACCAGCTTCTTCCGCCAGCTTCTCAGTTTTGCCTGCGGGTCAACTTTGTGAAATTCTCCAGCCTCTGCTCAGACCAGCCAGGGTGAGGCTGCTGGAAGGAACACTGGAAGATGATTTTCTGATAGGCAGGATCTGCCTGGTTGGGTCTGCAGCGGAGCGGGGCGGGCCTGGGAGTGGATCCTGGGGTGGAAAAGTACCAACTCTCTTTGTTTTCAGGTTAGTCAGTCTCAGAGCGAAATGAAAACCCGAATCCTGATCTTATCTGAGAGCCTAGAGACTGTTCCTGCCCCTCTTTTGGAACCTGGGAAAGTCCCCAAATTCATTGTCTGAAAGTTGGGATGAATACACAGAGCTCTGGATGAGAGAGCGTTATTACAGGCAGCGGCTTACGTAAAGGGTTCTCACTTGCAAAAAGATGTTTTTATTTGGGGTTTTGATTCATCTAACAAATATTTATCAAGCACTTCCAGGGGGCCAGGGAAGGGGAAGGGGAAGCTCTCAGCAGGAAGCACATGCCCAGGAGGAATTGTCCTGTAGCAAGCAGGGCACAGGCTCTGGAGTGGACCCACTTGAATCTAGATCCTATAGTCCCCCGCTGTGTGACATTGAAAAATGACTCAGCTTTCTCTTCTGGAAAGTGGACATAAGCAGTAACCACTTCCCCGATTGTTACCAGGATGAAAGGAGATGGTTCAAGGGAAGCCCGTGGCCAGCCCATGCCTGGTTCACAGTAAGGCTTTGGTTGTTTCCCCAAATGCTTTTTTGCTCCCCAAATTTGTCTTTTTATGGACACCAGGGTCCTACTGAACTGTTACTGATCAAGAAGCAACAATGTAGGGGGAGCACTTGTTACAACTCTTTAGATAAGTGCAAGTGGACGCTCTGTGCCCAGGAACTCCTGGACACCTTGAGTGTCCACGGTGGGATCCGGCCTGGATGGCTGCAGGCGCTGTGCGCTCCTCCTGGAGACAAGGATTCCCAGTAGGAGGCGCCTTGTCAGCCTCGGCTGGCTTCTCAGACACCCGCCAGCTGGCTCTGGGCTTCTCAGGGTTTGAACTTCAAAGAGTTGGACGTTCACCCGAGGAGGGGACCCTGGCCCGACCTCTGCTGGAATTCAAAACAGCCGAAGATTGGGAGGGGAGCCGGGCCAGCTCTTCCCTCGGCGTTTGGAATCCACGTTTCGGGCGGTCTGGCCGGGACCGGGACCCACCCACCCTAGTTCTGGCACCGCTTCCAGAGCCGACTTCCAGGCAGAGGGCGGGGTTGCAGCGCAGGTGAGAGGCGGCGCGCGGTGTTCGGGCTCACCTTCCTGGTTCCGTGCAGAGGCGGGCCACCCGTCCGTCACCCACGGGACGGGAGACAGCCGCCGGTGATTCGCTAGGAAAGTTCTCTGCAGACCTGGGCATGGGCCCCGGCAGGGGAGAGTCCCGGGCTCGGATGCAGGAACCCGAAATGGGCTCCACCCAGGCTGGGCTCGACGCGCGATACCGAGGGTGCCCGGGCCACCCAGGAGTGGGTGGGGAGCCCTACGGAAGGCGTGAGCTGACTCGCTTTTTAAAAACTCGCTTCCTCCTTCTCTACCTCCGCCCTTCGCTCACCTCGCCAGACTTCGGCTGTGGCTGAACCCGCCGGCCCTGAACCCGCGGGCCCGAGGGTGGAGAGCCAGGCAGCGGCCTCCCGGAGAAGGAGGAGAGGTGAGTCTTCGGCCAGGTGAAGGCGCAGGGACACCGCCCCTGGTGGGGTGTGGGGGAGTGTCCCCAGATCCACGTAAACCCAGGCCATAAATGCCGCGGGCTCCGGGCCTCGAGACCCCCACCCACCCAGACCCGCCGCCCTTCCCAGGGAGAGGGGCGGTCCGGGCGCGCTTCCCTCCCTGCCTCCACGCGGTTTATTGACTCCAGCGGGGTCCGGGGGACGTGGGCGCAGCGCCGGCGCCCTGCACCCTCAGCTCGCGCCCCAGTCGAGAGAGCTGCTGCCCGCCCTCCGCGGCGAGGTCGCGGGCCCCGGTCTAGGGTGGCGTGGAGGCCGGGAGGGAGGGTCGGCTGGTGGGCGGCGCCTCTCGCGGCCCGAGGCCACTCGGAGCCGGCGCCGCCCTCCGGCGCCCGCGGTCCCTCCCTCCTGCTCTCCGCGCTCCCGGGCCGCGCTTCCTGCGTCCCCATCCCGGTCCCGGAGCCGGCGACGCTCCGTCTCCGCACCGCGCTCCCCCGATCGAGGCTCGCTAGAGTCCCCTGCCCGCGATCGCCGCGTCCCCGAGGAGGCAGCCCGGGCTGGGGGTGTCGCGGAGCCCCCAGCCCCGGGCCGCCGGGCAGAGACCGAGCCGGAGCCGCAGCGGCCCGGGTGAGTCTGCGCCGCGGCGCCGGGAGGAGTGTCTGGGTTCGCGGTGGGGCCGAGGAGGGGAGCCCGAGGCTCCCGGGTGGTGCGCCCAGGCGCCCGAGAGTGTCCAGCGGGAGTCTGCCACCCGGCGGCCTCGCTGCCCAGCCCTCGGCAGCCGCGCCCTGCCAGCGACCGACACCCCCACCTCCCGCACCGCGCGGGCCGGCCGGCCACGGAGGGGGAAGGCGGCCAGCCTCGGGGGCCCCCTGTTGGCCAGGACCAGTGCCATCCTCCCGGAGGGTTTTGAACCCCGGGCCTCGGCAGAGGCACCTGCCACCCCTGATCCTGAGCAGAGCTTTGGTCCCTGAAAAGCAGCTTGGCGCCGTCCGCGTCGACCCTCCTCCCCGGCCCTCGTTTCTTTGTGGCTTTTTACAGTTTAAGATTCGTGCGCGCCTGTTTTACCCACTAGAAGTAAAGGGGTGAGAAACCGGCGGGAGCGGTGAGGTGGAACTCGGGTCCTGCCGTGTCTCGGCTTCTTTGTCTGTAAAGTGGGAATGACAGTGTCCCGGGGCGAGACGACGAGGCATTCTTGCGAGGCTCAAGCTGGGTTACTTTGGGGGAGCGCCGGATCCCCATCAGATCTCAAGTCGGCGCGCAGGACAGCGGCAGGGGCGCAGCAGGTCTGATTAATAGGATAGTCACTTGGAGGAAGGAATCTTTCCCACCAGGGTGGGTGTGGAAGGCCGGGAACCCGCAATTTTCCTCTGGGAGACGCCGCGGGCTGCCCTGGGATGACACATGTGTCCCGGGACCGGTCCTTCAGCTCCGTCTGGGGGTCTGGGCTCCCGGAATCCTCCGAAGCGGGGTGGGCGGGGCCATCGCAGGGCTGCAGGTGGAGGGACCGCCCTGGGGCAGGTTCTGGCTTTTGTTTTGAAGGGTTACTTGGAAGCTAGCTCCTGTAGTGAAAGGTCCACCTGAGAACAACTTCCACCCTTGGACTTGTCCCACCAGGATCCCGACTTGATGGAGCGGGGCCAAAAGGATCTGGGAAGGAGCCCATTTCCTTCCAAATATTTCCCTCCCTTTCTTACCAGATGTACCCCCATCCCCAAAACACACACACACACACACACACACACACACACACACGAGAGTGGGAGAAAAGGGCAATAGGAAGGCGAGGGGAGGAGACTGGCCATGAAGCTGTTTCTCATGGTGTCCTGGACGTGTGGAGCGTTGCTCAGGACTCGGGGAGGACTTGAGGAGCTCCCAGCCTAGTGAACGAGTTGGACAGTAATGGCCAGTGTCACAGAGGGTGGGTGCTACAGTCAGGCCACACCATTCCTGGCCATGACAGATGGTGGTCAGTCACTTCACCCCTCTGTGCCTGTTTCTTCTTTTGTGAAATGGGAATGGTGACCTCCCAGGGCAAAGTGGGGTGTCTGTGCCGAGTACAGAGCAGGCTCTGGAGGACGTTATGTTACCGGTCTTAAGAGAGAATGCTAGAAAGAAAATAACTGGGGAGGGAGGTCCTGCAAAGAAGAATATTAGATGAGTCCACAGGAAACTGGAGTCCACAGGGGACCTGGGAGGAAGGGTGTCTGGCAGGTGGAGCACCCGAAAGCAGACCTGTGCTGGGTGGGAGGACTCAGGTGGGGAGGGTGGGCTACTGGGAGGGTGGGGAACCAGGAAGGGAGTGGGGACAAGGCTGGAATGGGCCCACTGGACCGCCAGGGCTCTCTTGGAACCATCCAGCAGATGTTACCTGAGCCCTTTCTGTGGGCAGGCACTAACTACCTTCTTTCTGGCTGGGGGCACAGCAGCGGTACAGTGCTTGCCCAGCACACACAAGGCCCTGGGTTCAATCCCAGCACTGAAAAAAAAAAAAAAAAAGAAGAAGAAGAAGAAGGCTAGAAGATAATTCTGGCTGCATGGAGAGATCACATCTCTAGGAGAGAAAAAGCCGGCTGCCGGTTGGTGGTGGGCAGTGGGGAGCCACACGGGAGGCCTGAACAGAGGCAGGGATTATTACATGTGGCCTTCACCTGGGATCACTGGTTCAGCATAAGATTTGGGGTCTCCCTGAGCGATCCAACCTCCAGCCTTCTCTTTTGCCAGAGAGAGGTGATGAGCGCAGGGCCCCAACCCTCCAGCTCTCCTGCCCTGGGGCTCCACGTGTCACAAGGCCCCGGGGGGCTTCTCCATCTGGGAGGGATGGCAGAGCCAGGGGGTGTGTCTCACTGACTTTTGCCTGGGGCAGCTGCTTCCTTGGAGGCCCTGGTTTTACTAGTCACAGTTCTGGAAATGCTGTCTTGCTGGCAGAGAACCCCTCCGAAATCTTGGGCTGGAGGTGGCTGCAGCGCAAGACACTTGGGTCCTTGGCTTCTCTTGCCCCAGTTCTGGACCCAGGTGGGATTGGAGAGCGAGAAAGCGTTGCCTCCCAAGGTGCCAGGAATGTTCCAGCAGCCCAGACGCCTCATGAGGATCTGCTTGGGCTGCTGGCTTTTGCTTTCACTTCTGGGGTCTCTGCCCTGAAGCTGGGGAGAGCCTTGCGATTGGAGCTGCAGATCTCCCTCTGCTCGCAGGTGACAGAGGACCCCAGAATACCTCAGGTGCGGGAGGCTTCGGGCTATCAGAGCTGCCAGTCTTATTTGACCAGTGAAACTCAGAGGGGGAGGGACTTCCCAAGGACAAGCAGGACAGCAGCCCAACTGGGACTGGACCCCGAGCCCCTTAGACCCCCTGGTGTCTGTGCCCGATCCCAGGTGGCCTGGCCACATTCAGGTCAAAGACTTGTTTTAAGCCCCTGGTGTGACGGTTTCTCAGCATCTCATCTTTCTGGAAGCTTCATAGAGTCCTGCTCCTCCGCAGCCCACACAGGAGGCCCAGGCTGGCCTGGCAGGGCCCTTTTCTCCCATCTCCTCGATGGAGCAGTTGGTGCCAAGGCCATCCCTCGGGGAGCTGGTGTTCCCTGGAGAAACAGCCTGCTTCTTGGTTTTCCTGCCAGCTGTCCTGCCCCGCCCAGAACAGCCACAAGACACTGGCCAGAGATCTCCTCTGAGGGTCTCTGCTAAGCTCTCCCTCTCCCCGCCACCCTCTGGGCTGATGCCCGGCTCCTCCCTCTCTCCCCTCAGCCCAGCTACCTCTCGGGGCAGGCTTGGCCCTCAGCTGGGCTTGTTTACTTGGGCCAAGCAGCCGAGCGGGCCTTGTTCTCTCCTGCCCTAGATTTGCCATTCGCAGCATCCTCCAGCCTGAACGGCTCTGGTCAGCGTACTGGACCAGCAAGTCCATCCTCCTACACGTGGGGACACCGAGGCCTGAGGAAGGGAAGGGACTGTCTGAGGCCAGGGTCAGGAATAGACCCCAGGCTCCCCAATTCTGTCTTGGATGATTTGGAGGATGGCTTGGTTGGGGGGGGGGGGCGGTAAGAAGAAAAAGCAGAGCCTCCTCCCTGTCCTGGGGTCCCTTTCTCTCCACATTCTGCCGCAGTCTGGCTGGGCACACAGTCACGAGCCACCACACAGCTTGTAGATTCAAACAGCAACTCTTTATTCCCGAACTCACACCAGCCGTCTACAGTCACGTTCTGGGGAAATCCACGTTCTCTGCCCAAATCCACTGGGCTTCTGTCTCCCCAAAAATACTGTCTGAATCCCGTGAGAACTCAAGGGGAACTCAGGCAGCAGGATACGCCCTAGCCCTATTCCCAGCAGGAATAATCTTAAAACTGGAACGCCCTAAACCCGATTATCCTAAACCGGGAACACCCTAAACCCGGATCCGCCCTGGTCCTTGAGCAAGGTCACCTACATGCAATGTCACTGCAAAATGTCCTATTTCCACTAAGCAACATGGGGTCCTTCCACTAAGCAACATGGGGTACGCTGGCAAGGAAATTGTCATACCTACTTGGCTAATGGCTCCCAGCAACATTCCAAGTATTTTCAGGGCGTCCACATGATGTGTCAAAAGGCATGGGGTGCACCGTGGCAACTGGGATTTAGGTGCTCTGCTAAGCTGACTTTATACTGTGGCTCTGCAGGGAATGTTCTCTTCCCAGAGGACGGACGGACTATTCATTGTAAAAACCTGGAAGGAATGGCCGCAGATGCCAGCAGCCTCTGGTGATCCTGCGGTGACCTGGGCAGGTGGTGTGTTAGTTCGATCACTCTGTCATTTCATCTTCCTGCTTTTCCATGTGTCACCCTAAGGGGTGTTAGCCCCAGGGGACAGTTTTTCCACACAGGTTCTAGCTGCCAGTTCTCTCCTTCTTCTACCTGGTGGCCAGCAGGTACTTGGGAGGCCAATCTTTACTGCTGGATCAGCTGCCTTGGCCAGAATTCTTTCTGCCAAGTGCATAAGAAATTTGTCACCCACCACTGTAGGACTTTGGGGGCCATTTTTCTGCATCACTGTGGGTGTTTGGGAAGGAGTGATATTTGCAAAATCTAAAGCACAAACAGATTCTCACTGAGGTTCTAGGAAGTGGAAGAAGTCAGCCATTTGGGCGGGATGGATGTGACCCAAAGATCACAGGGCTGCAGGGAACGAGCCAGGTGGCTTCTGAGTTTTAGCTGTATTCATTTTAAGCAGCCAGTGCTCACACCCCACCACCATCCCTGGTCCCAAATCCCCTGGGGCTAGGCATGGGGCAGTAGGTGCATGGAAAGCCGGTATTTGGCTCGTTCATCTAACTCCTGCCTCTTGGGAGGTATTTCAATGGCATCAGTGTGCAGATAGTTTGTCTCCCGGACAGGGGAGGCAGGGAGGTCACCCCACCTCCGGGACAGGATCTCTTGGGGTGAGGTCACCCCCTCTAACAGGATCACAGCTTTGTCAGCACCAGACATCCTCCATACTGCTAGACGTCCTAACGATGATCTGGGATGTTTTCTAGGCTAACCTTGACAGACTGTGAGCAGCAGCTTATTAGTGGGTTTGACGGGCAGTGAAGTGGCTTCGCAGCTGTCTTTTAAAGGAGAAATGGAGAAAAATAGAAAATGATCATTTCCTGTCATTGTTAC